GGGACTTTGGTGGCCCCCACCCCTTGCCTCTAAAGGCTGGAATAAAAGGGCCCTGCAGATTATTTCTGCTTTGGGCCCCATGATCTCTATGTCTGACTCTGGGTGGAAGGACAACAGGAACAGGATAACAAAAAAAACTATATGATCAGAGTCCAGCCCTAAGGGTGATGGATCAGATAAATCCCACACATTGAGAGGAAGGGAATATACCCCTAGATGAAAAAGGGGCACGTGAGATAAAAGCAATAGAGGAGATACTGTGTGGAAGAAGTGAGAAGCTTGGATGCCAAAGAAAGAAACTGAGTAAACCAGGGCTGAGTTGGCCAAAGAGGTACCATTAATAGGACCCAACAAAGGAGAGAACCCAAGGGAGGAGCCAAAGAGAAGGATATGCATACAGTAAAAGGTGAGAATGGGGACTGGCAGAGAGGAACCTGGAGTTGAGGGGAGAGGCAAAGGCATTTATGAGAGGTGTGTTAAACTGAGAACACAACTAACAAGAAACCACAATGAAGCCTAGTCCAGCTGAGAGAGGCAATCCACCCTCAGGTACAAAGCCCCCCAGCACATGTAAGCAACAAGATGAACTCAATGGAAAAGAGCACAGAAGTGGAGGTCCAATGCCCAAAAGCAGAGTGCTGGAGTGGGTGCCCCTTAATGGATGATATAAAAACTACTGTGGAAAAGTCAGAGTTGATCATGATGATACACTATTAGAGGTAGGAAATTGAAACATGCCCAACACATAGCGAGAAGTCAAAGCACATTGATGTGAAGTGACTCTCTTTCAGTGCACAAACACCAGAAGACCTAGTGATGTTCAGAGATGTGCCTCAACCCAAAAGAGAAGCAACTGTGAAGAGATAGAGACCCATTCAAGGGTTAGTAATATAATGCCAATTGTGGTATTGGCACGGTCCAGCCACCAAAAGTCCTTAAGAAGAAAACAGAGGTTCACATCAAGAACAATAAATCCCAAGAAAGATTCCATTGATCTCACAAAGTTCACTGGAAGAGGCATATACATGTGCACACCCCAAGGAATTGAGTAGTTCCTTAGGAGCCAGGATCCCCAGAAGTGAAAGAACCTCGTGCACAGAATAAAACTGAGAAGCACAACCACAGTGATCACAGGTGAAGGCTGAACCCAACTGAGATGAAAGTAGAAGAAAATGTCCAGATCTTTCAAATACTGTATAGGCAAGAGAAAGGACATGGAAAACATAACAAATCATCCTAACTGAGAAGCCTTCTGCAGGAGAAGGCAGGTGTGAAAGAAAGATATCTCCCAAGAATGGGCTAGTAGAAGCCAATCGACCATGCAGAAGTGGAAACACAGCCCCAGTTCAAAAAGGTGGAAATTGAAGGCCTTTGTGACTCAAATGAAGACATAAGGGCTGCTGCCATGCCATAGGGAAGAGCACATAATGGGAAGACTTGAACCTGATGGATGAAACATAAAAAAAGTCTTGAGAATGGGATAATCAGGATATATAGAAAGGCATCTGACAGAGGGCTGTGGTCACCCATAGACTGGGTAAAAAAGGACCAGTGAAGAGGAATAAAATTTTTCATCCAGAACCATGGAATGACCAGAAACTGGTTGAGACATGAGGTCAATAACTGGATGCCAGGCCCAGGGCTATTTGTGGTACACCAAGAGGTTAGAGTAAAAAACACAGGGAAGGGTGTATATCCTCTCAATAGTGTATTTGGTCAAAAGATCTGAGAATGAAACCAGGAGAGATTGAAGTTGAATGGGGTTATAGGGAAGAGAAAAGGAAATGGGAAGAGGAGAGAGACCATTGGTGAAAGCATGAAAAACCCATCTGTCAGTAGAAGACTGAGGTAAAAGGCTGGTGAAGGAGACAGATGAACACCAACAGGGCCCATTCAAACAGGATAGTCACCGATGAGATGAGCCATGAATCAGACATCAAGTAGTAGAACAGGAGGAAAAGGAATACCTGGAATGGGAATGGTAAACTGATCAAGCTGAAGAATAGGAGTTGAAGGGTGATGTTGAGGAAGACAAGAAACCAGAGAAGATATGGACAACTGATACCAGTCCACTTCAGTTTGGATCTCCAGTAAAACAGGAACACCACTGAAAACTCCCAAAAAATGGGAGCTGGACTAAGATCACAGAGATATAAAAGAAGGCAGGTGTACTTTAGTGAGAAATGTATCCTAACCCAACAAGTCCCAACAGCAGACGAACCAAATAAAGAGCAACAGTGCAGAAGTGGTAAAAGTTATGATGGATGAGAGAATGGAACAAACTTCTCTGGGAAACTCCTCTAGAATACAATGAAGTGTCTCAGACGAAAGGTAGAGGGAGGAGATCGAACATAGGAGGGTGGAGAAAAGGGAAAAGATGTGAAAACAGAAAACTAGAGAGCAAAATAGAGGATGAAGTGTACACTCCCAAAGCAGGCAGAAAAAATTATAAAGACTGGGAATCTAGAAAATGAAAGGAAAAATAGATGGAGGTCAGGACAAAAGAGTCAAGAATTTGAGAAAGTGTAGAGTTCTTCATGATTAAAAACAGCATGAACCCTAATATGAAGTGAAGGAAAAAAGCCAAAATAATCCCAAAAATTGGATTCATGGAGTAAAGAATAAAAAGAATCAAAAGACATGGGCAAAATATAAAGAAAAGAACATATCTGAAAAATCATATCCAGAAAGAGATTGGAAGGTTGAGGATTTTCCCTGACTGGTAAGTTGGTACTTAAAGCGAATTCAAGTGATTGAAACTGTTGGTTAAACTTATTGTACTCCTGGTCATTCACAAACTGAGGGGAAAGGACTTTGGCTAAAGGGATAAAAAGAGGAGGCCCAGTATGCAGACATTCAGAGACAGAAGCCATGAACAATAAAACCATTTACTAGTCCTTGGACATCACCTACTAAACTTGTGTAGAAAAAGGTTGGGTCCATAAGGTCCTGTGTGGATTACCAGAAGGTGAATGACATCATAAAGAAGGATTGACTCCATTTGAGATGCTCTATCTGGATCAAAATGGTTTTCAACATTAGATGTTAAGAGTTGATATTGACAAGTGCAATTCAGTGAAGAAAATAGAAAGAAGACAGTCTTTACTGCTGGAATTGTGCCAATTTGTTATGTTGGCATTTGGATTATGTAATGCACCTGCTATATTTGAATGACTAATGGAGTGTACTCTGTCTGAATTATTCTGGAACGTTGTATTCATCTGTTTGGATGATATAATCACACTTAGGAAGCCTTTGATAACATTTATGATGATCTAAGGAAAGTTCTGGGCCAGTTGAGGTAAAAAGAACAGTTTCATCAACGGGTGATTTTTCTGGGGCACATAGTCAGAAGAGATGGAGTGTCTACACACCCATCTAAAATTGAATCTGTTGATAATTGGCCAACATCAAAGAACTCGTGCAAGGAAAGAAAATTTTTTAATCATAATTTGTAAAATTATTCTCCAACACAGCTTGTTCTCTACACAAATTACTTAAAAAACCAAGTAAATTTTCTAGGACTACTGATTGTGAAGAAGCATTCAACAAACATCCAAATTAAAATATTAAAAATATAGCTTACACCAATATATACATAATTTTTTCTATATAACTATAAAAATATAAAGACAAGTTTAAAAAGTGACTAAAATGTGTTCACTTAAAAAATACCAACTATGATAAAACACATTCAAACATACAATAAACATAATTAAAAAATAATAATTTTCAGGGATTTAAAAAATTACTACAAGATTTTGTTTTAATCTATTAACTTTTAGTGTAAAATTGTATATATCTGCTGTAAAACATTAAGATTACAGAACCTATATATAGCTTGACCTTAAGAAAACCTGTTTTTTCTGTTATTAATTTTGAACAGGTTGGTAATTGAATTAATTTCTGATAATTCATATTTTTCAAAATGTTATTGTATATAAATTTATGGGTGTTATTTAGCTTGTTATGCTCAAATTTTCAATGGACTGATAACCTTCTGTCACATGTTGATACTTCTGTTAATATATAAGCTAAGGATTTGTTTATGTTCCAATTTTTGGCAACAGTTTTTGGATAGTTAACTTCAACATATCTTGAAATTTCTTTTTTTTTAACTGAAAGCTAGAAGCATGGGCCATTGAGCCTCCATTTTTTAATGCATTTCATTTTGAATTTTAATTCAAAACATCTCATTTCTTTTTATTTTACCAAGGTAACTCATCAACCTCATACTGCTAGACAGTAGAGTCTGCCAGCTTTTGGAAACTAGAACTATGGAGTATAGTTAAGTGTGTTATATTCTATTTACTTCAAACTATTCTGTTATTTAAATTTTGTATTTTACATTGATTTTAAAAACTGTTTACTTTACACGAATTCAAAAAATTATCTTTTATTTTCTTTAGTTATAACTTATACTAATAACCTATTATCTACACATCTATTACTATTAGCTCCATAACTTTTATAAATTTTAAATCTACCTTTGTCAATTCCAATCTTTTGTTAAACCTTAATACTCGGTAGTATTACTTACAATACGTATATTTTAAATTTTTAAATACACATTTCAACGTTTTCATTACATTTTTCGAAATTGGTAACTGTTCTATATCAAAATTCTTTCAACTTAGATCTTATAATGCGCTTTTTCTATTGTTTTGTAGTTTCATCCATAAACAAGCATTGTTTGTGATAATTTCAGTACAGATTTAGCCAACAGATTAATTAATTGAATTAAAAGGTTGGACGTCAATATGTGTTAAGGCGCCTCAATTACAAACACAGCTTTGATGACGCCTTCCGCGGAATAGTCCGGTCAGCATTTTACAGCATTAAACTTTAAAGTAAACATTTCTCTATAACCTTGATTGGAATATTGACTCCAACCATTAATTTATGTAATTCTATGCATTAACCAATATCTTTACATCATAAATTAAAAACAAATACAGTAACAAAAATCAAACTATTTCACCATTGGCAACTATCCTTACCACAGTTGTTGGCGCTGTCATTGTTACTGTTAGCGCAATGTTGTGTGCACCTAGGCACGCAGTAACAAAGATGTAAAAATATTAACAATGTTTAACTAGAAAATACTACTTTATTCTGCCTACGTTCATACTGTAGAAGCAAATTTTATAGCTCCAAGGAAGCTCTTTACTGAAATATTTTCCCAACAGTTGTACGCGTCTGCATGAGCCCTGTCGTAAGGCGGAACCCATATTCTAACTTACCGAGCTATTCCTACGTACCCGACGTCTGCTTATGACTTACTGCTCTATTATATGGAGAAAAGAGAAAAAATAAGGCCAAATAGCTGCGATATGCTTCGTTTCAATTTGCTATTCTAATAACAAGTTGGCAAACAACGATTTATAAAAATGGTTAGAGGGCTCAACAAGCAACCTGCGGGTTCGAATCCCCATCACTGAATGTGCTCACCCTTTCAGCGTGGGGGCATTATAATGTTTCGGTAAATCCGACTATTCGTAGGTAGAAGAGTTGGCAGTGGGTCGTGTTGACTAGCTGCCTTCCTTATAGTCTTTCACTGCTGAATTGGGGACAGCTAATGCAGATAGCCATCTATTAACTTTGTAGGAAATTCAAAACAAACAATCAAACATAATGTGCCCCCCCCCTCACAAAAAATACGATATCTTATAAATATAAGTTAGCGGACAATAACAGTATCAACATAATCAAGTACTGTATCGTGGGGAGAAGATATTTTTTAATACAAACAATATAATAAAAGAAATATAAATAAAGAGAAAAGTAGAGATAGAAATGGTGGAAATATTACTTATTCATTTGTTGGGATAATTTGTACTTATATTCCTGTATGGAAAGGTATTGTTACAACAGCGGAAGTATATAAGTGCGCCAGGTAAAGCGAAATTATTAATCGGAATTAGAATTGCAGACAGACAGAGATGGACAATTGAGACAAGCGCGGTAGTAAAATACGTGAATCGTGGTG